TAACATCATTGCTTACATTTTTAATACATAATATACTAGCTCTATCCCGCGACTTCACATATGTGATTTATGATAAAGAGGTACAAGATACTCCATCTGTGCTTCAAATTTCATACAAATGTAAAAGTTTTTCCAAGTTTAATATTTATAATATGAAACTTACTAATGTTTTGAGTCCTGTTGGTCCTTTTGTTATGAAACTTTACATTAGCGAAGTAAAGCTTAGTCACAAAAACCTAAGGAAACTTTAACAATGAGTTGATCGTGACTCGCGTGTTTGTAGTACAATAGAAACAATTATAAATGGCTGCCATAGTGAAGTAGACAAAATAGGCAATGACCTTAAATTTATAATAACAACTAGGCAGACTGTCTCACTACAAACTCTTTTAAAAAACAACGTAAATTGTTTTAAAATGTTGCGCTTTTTAATACGGTAATTGTTACAGGCGACCATAGGCTACAGTAATCGTTTACTGTCGGACAGGCTGTATGCTTGTTTGGCACCTTCGTGGTATAAAAAAAATATTCGACAGATACAAAATTGTATGAATATTCTATTTAATTGACTTTCAATATGTACTTTTAATGTTTCCGAATGATATTTAAAAAAATTGTGACTCAGTAAATATAATGAATAGGAAATAAACCTATACTGCTATAATAGAGCAACAATAAATACTCAAAAACAATTAAACAGTAGAGTATTTCAGAAGGCGGCCTTAAATCTCTCGACTTAATACCAGGGTGCTACCCTCAAACGTGTATAAATTAAGTAGTACTAATAGTTTAGTAGTATTTTAGAATGGTAGACTAGAGGATGTCGTCAATCACCGTGCAAAAGTTCAAAGATGGCGGGAAACATTGCGCACGCGTACAACAGAAACAGCTGTGGGCTGTGGCGTCCATGTTGAAAGAGGTAGAATGTAGATAATAATCGTAAAACCATGTGCTCCAAACGACATGAATAATAATTAGTTTACTTTTTTTAATATAATGCCAACCTTTTTTTTTTAATAAATTTAAAATATTTTTTTATTCGTATAAACTTAACGATAAGTACTGTCAATAAATAATAAATAAATAAATAACTTTATTGCATAACCATGATTGTAACAAACTCAGCACTGGAAATTACAGTAAAAGTAGGTAAGAATTCATTTGTACATTTGGATCAGTTGAAACATCTGTGTCTGAACTAGGTTATAAAACCTGTATCTCAGACAACAGCGCTCAACCCTCATTAGATAGTATAATATTAGTTCAGCTAAATTTTTAGTGCTACATATAGAATGTTGATTTTATATAAAGTTAATTCATTTAATTATAACTATTGGTAATAATGAAAATTGTGTAAAAATGTGCTCCCTGTGTGTAGAGTGTAATTTGAATGTATGTGTGTGGGAGAGTGTGTAAAATTATTTGTATGTTTACTGTAATATTATTTAAACAATTTAAAAGTTCATCTTCAATTTAATTGTAAAATATTATTTTAATTTATGTATCTATTTAGTAGTTGTATTTATATTACATTTCATTTTTAATAAATTTTCCGTCTCATCGTAATTCTTTTCTTTCAACCAGTCTACAACTCTGTCAATCGTTAATTTTTATGAACCTACCGCGCAATTCGAATATAATTTCAGCTGAGAAGAAACTTACGAGCATGAAACTCAGATGTTGCTATTAATATAGTTATTAAATTATATAAGAATGTAATTCGGTAACCGATGTTTAGATGTAAACGTCGTTAGGGTTTCTATTAATTGACACTTGGATGAGTCAATACGTAAACCTAGTTCGGATAAATAAAAAGAAAATACGATACTCGGCCAAAAATATCTAAATAATACACATTTCTAACGTTACTCATTATTAATAACATTATTAAAATGGTTCTCATTAATACCTTATCGGATTGTAGGCTCTAATGTAACTAATAGGACAACTAAGTTGGATAACGCTTAACTGTAACCTTGGAATCACTCTCGATCACTTGCCGTCCACCCTGCCTACAATCGGTTGTACGAGGTTATGATCACCTTTCCGGGCGATGTGGCCAAAGAACTCTAGTTCTGCGAAGACATAGAGTGAAGAGTTTGGTTGTTATTTTTAAATCCCGAAGAATAGACGCGTTAGTACGAAAGGCAGTCTAGGGTATCTACAATATATTTCTCCAGCATCACATCTCGATCGCTTTGATATGGTTTCAGGCTGTTTTTTTAAGGCTATAATGGAATAAGTATAAAAGGTATGAATTTAAAACGTGATCTACCTGAGTACCAAATTTCATTTAAATATTGTCGGCCATTTAAATTTAACGATGATCATCATACATTACATTTATCATTTTTATTACTTGAAGTTTTACTGCACCTTACACTAGCTCAACGGAACCATAAGGTTCCACTACGAGTATTCCCGTAATTACATTTATTTTTAGTAATTTTGAATTTCAGAAGATAATATATAGATAAAATATATACCATTTTTTAAATTCACTTAAAGAATACAAATGTGAAAACCGTATCTAATAATGTGCAATGGTTTTTGAGTAACGCAGGAACAAGCATACAAAGAGATTTTTAAAAAATATTGGTTTAGCATTAGTCTTCTGAAGACTCTCATATTAATCTTTCTTAAATATTTTTCATGTACAGACATCGTCCTGTTACAATCTAATTATATTTTTTTTTATTAGACCACACCATCTTGAGTGAACTTCGTCCATAAATACGACCAACCGAAAAGAGGTTACCTTCTCAACGGTTTTTTTTTGTTGGATGAAAATGGATTGGTAACCCCGCCCGCGCTAACAGGATACGTTGGTGGAGCACCAGTGAAGGGTTATAGATGAGAATGAAAACAGGCCAGTTAGCCCATCATGATAAATTCATCATGAAGAATCAAACATGATAGTTTCCAGGGGGAACCGCGTGGAGGTCGACCTGGTTAGGTATATTGCTAGCAATGGGATTTTTCGTCTCCATTACTAACAATCCCCCCCCCTTCTCAACGGTTGGCCGCACAATGCCGGCTCACTAAGTGCTTTTTTACTTTACTACTACGTTTCAAGAATTCGATGTTTTACAGGTAGAATGAAGTAAACAAGTCAAGGGAAGAGTTATACCACATTGTTACGGTACGGTACACATAAGAGTTGGCAAACTTATTTGTACGCGGTCTACCGTGCATGAATGCAGTCGCTGGCCCATCATCGTGGTGCGACATCAGAAAGAGGTAAGTGAAATAAAGGAATGAAGTTATTCTGTGTCTTCCCTATGAAATAAATGGTAGGAAATACTAAGGGAGGTATATAAAGATAGGAAATTATGTTGGTTTGTTTATTACGTTTTGTTTGTTATCACTTGGCGCCTGGCCAGTGATAATCGTCAATAAATTTGTTACACACGTAGTATTCGGGATAAAGAAGGCTACTCTCGTTATAGTACAAAGTATTCTAGTAAAAACTAATAGTTATCGAGTCTATATATCGAGCCGCACATTCCATTTAGTTATAAATCTTGAAGCAACGATTATTAAACACGCTTACACGCAATATTTCTTATTCCTTACTTTGTTATGTTTCCACTGGCAATGCAATGAATTTGATTATGAATTTATAACGCCGAATATTAATGGGGGTGATTACAACAAGCGATGGCAACACGCTCGAAATATTTTTAATGTTATTTTCCGTGTTACGCAGCTAATTAAGCGACTTACACAAGGAGGAGGTTCTCGATTCGTATTTTAGCGGCCATGTTACACGATTGCGCCGTTTATTCTGAACCGATTTTGATAATTCTTTTAGCAATTGACAGGAAAAGTCCCGTGTTAATATTTTTTATTGGGATGATTGAAACTGCCACTTTTCATTAAAGAGTAAAAAAATTACTAAAAAAACATATAATATTAAACACATAAATCATAAAAAAAAAAATACGAAATGGTTTGTAAACACACATTTTCGGTTTCTAAATTCAAATATTTGCAATCGTATTAATATTATAAATAAGAAAGTTTATAACTTTGGAATTCCAATCAAATCCATTATCTTCAGCACATAGGATATGCTGTGTACTAAATCACGCGGGTAAAGCCGCGAGATAAAGCTAATATGATAAGAGTATATTTACGAAACATCTCATTGCTTATTGGTGTGTTTTGTCACGATGAAAGTTGATCTTTTTTTTTGCAGAACAAAATATTTATACATAAATAACTAGTGATTATACCCGGCTTCGCACGGGTGTACAAAATTTTCGAAAATAATATATAGACTATTCGTTGATAATGTAGTTTTCTACTATATTAATAATTTATTTATACTGTAGCCGAAATGCGTGAATAATATAAATATTTTTAACTTAAACTATAATCTACTAGCAGCAAATATTTAAAGCAGACATATGCACTGAATATTCTATCAATAATAATAAGTAGTTTTTTTTTTTATGAATTACGGTACAGTATTTAAGGTATCCTGTCCTCGTTATTGGATACGGGTGATGGAATACCTATAGAAGAGGATACATGGTGTATTCACTAGAAATGTAGGCTCAACATTTGAGGAGCATGAGGAAATAATAAGTAGTTTTAAATGCAATTAATATAAATAATAGTGTCGCAGGCGTAAAAAGGTTACAGTGACCGTTTACCACCAGATGGGCTATATGCTTGTTTGACATATTCGTGGTATAAACAATTATTGATATTTTTATCTGTGTAATAAATAGAAATATTAGTATACGAAAATGACTCATGAATCGAGATTATTTTTTAAATTTTTGTATACATTTTTAGAATGAAAATGCTGGAACACTTCCTCTATTTCAGTACAATTTCCATGGAAAGTCACAATGAGAAGTCTCTATTAATTCCATCAATAAATAGCACAAAATGTAAACTTCAAGGTGGCTATAGGTTTTAATCTATGCTGTACTTAAAAAAAAGTATTATAATATAATTATTTGAGAAGAAAAACATGCTTTACTTACTGGTGGTTGCTATAAGCTGGTAGGGTCCGTTTTCTTGATGGTCTGACCTCTTTTTTCCGCAAACTCAGCACTCAGTCTGTGTGCCTTCAACGTGTTAGGTTTCGACATATTACTATCACTAACCAAGCGAGCACACCAACCTCAAAAATTGACCATACACTATCGAAAATAAACAGTCATTAAAACACTTATATGCTTATATACTCGTTGCTTTTTAGACCCAAATGGTATTTTATCACAATTGCAGTAAACCTAGTTATATATCAATGTTAAAGCGTTACTTTCTTATCTAGAACACAAATTAATAAATAGGTACTATTGATCAAAAGCATAACACCAGCTATATATGTATTAGAGTGTAGTATTATATTGATAACACGCTGTATCAATGGTAGCCAGTTTATTTTCACTTTGTAACTTTATAGACGGATTATAATTACGTTTATTTTATAATTTTACAGTCAAATAATAAAGAGAAATTATGTATATATATTTATCGTCGCGAAGTTCTCGCGTACGGTAGCTTGGTGTATCAACTTGAAGTTTGTAAGGGTTGAATCGCGCATGCGTACAAGGGTGGCATCGAAGGGCAAAACTCGATGTTGCCAGGCCATCAAAGGTGCTTGATAAAAAAAAAAACGCGACAAAAGATCATTGGTACATGTTTATTGCGACGAGATAAGGTTACAGGTCGTTTGGACATTTTATGAAACATTTTTTGGTTGGGGTGCGCGAATCAAGGGGCACAATCACGTAGGGTTATATCATTCATGTTCATTCAAATAAAAAGAGAATAGTTTGATGTTGCCGATTAATAAAAATATCCAACTGTGAACAGTTGGATAAACGTACCTAACGGTTGTGAGACTTACATTAAAAATATAATCTATATACCTATATATAAAAGTGGATGCTGATTGAATGACTGTCCTATATATTAACACACACAGCCGAAATCGCTGTATTTAGAATCTTGAAATTTTGTAAAAAAAAATCTTTATATAGCGTAGGTCATATATTACAACTATTTTAATTATTCAATTGGGCAACAAAAAGATCCATTTTTAAAAATGATCTGACATGGCGGACATTCATAGCCAGATTACTTTAAAATCTTTAATTTTTTCCCTATTTGATCAAAATACTTACTAATTAAAAAAGTTTGCGGTAGAATGATATCATTTTTTGGTCAAAATTTAACAAAATAAACAGAAATTTAATTCAGTATATATTAAATGTAATTAATAATTATTAATACAAATTATTTTCAACATACATATATATTACACAGTAACTTGAAAATTTCAAATAAGGGCTTGTGTTAATTAGAGGTCGAGTTTTAGATCTCGTTGACCTCCAAAATCAGTTTTCGTTTATGTCGACTCCTGGAAAATCAATTTCGACTCCAAGCGGTAGATAGCTACCACTCTGGGAAACCCTGGCGTAGGTGAACAATAAGTCAGCAATTTAGAAAATTCAATCCACAAGGGGGTAATATTTCTAAAATTCACGCGTACGAAGTCTAGTGCAAAAGCTAGTAATTTATATAAGTAGAATACTCATCGAATATAAAATAATAAAAATAGTAAGTATATAATAACTAATATGCTCAGTAGATAAAAGGGACTATTAGTAATGTGGTCTAAAGCCCTATTGCTAGCTATATACCCTGTCAGGTCGGTCTTTACGAGGTTACCTTTGGAAACCATCGTGGTTATTTTTTGTCGAATTCGTCATAATGCGCCAACTTAATCCTCACTTACATCCCTTACTGATGCCTCGTCAGTGTATACCGATAGCGCAGGCGGGGTTACTATTCCATTTTCACCTATTACATAAATTTGCTAATTGTTGCCATAATAATTATGAGCATATTATGTTTTTTTTTTTTTATTTATATAATACGTATAAAAAATGTAACTAGACGATGTCAATAAATCGAAGATATTAAAAAAAAAAATTATATGAGGGGCCTTAATAACACCAATGGATACCAAAACAATTTTTTTATGATTTTGTCTGTCTGTCTATGTTTCTTCCAGTATTGCGCAAAAACTACCTCACTAAATGTGGTTTTAACAGTTGTGTTTCTAAAGGTTTAACTTAAAATTCGAATCTAGAAGTGTTTTATTTTATTGCTTTTCCTACTTCAGAAATCCATGCATACGAAGTAGAGGGTAAAAACCTAGTTCTAATAATATATATATATATATATATATTATATATATATATATATATATTATATATATATATATATATATATATATATATATATATATATATATATATATATATATATATATATATATATATATATATATATATATATATATATATATAACTCTATCAGGGAAATAAGCTACGATCAACAAGTTATTGTAGATTATTTCTCTAAGCACATAAAAACTATAGTGTGCTGTTACTGAGGAAAGTAGCTATCTACATTGCCACTTAAAATTTACACATAAATATATATATATAAATATATATATATATATATATATCTAATTGTAAATACTTTGTAATTACAGAATTACAAATTTAAATATGATCTTATATACATTTTTAACTTTAAAATTTTATTATAATGATGACAAGAGATAGAGTTAATACAAGCGAAGTGAGTCATAATCCCGCAATTTGGAAAATCAATAAAACTGATCCGCTTAGCGATCGTTATTTGCAGTCGTGTGCACACAGCCAACTGTAGCGTCGGCAGATGAGTTTATTTTTTTTTTCTAAATAAAATTGGCAAAAGCATACATTTTTACATGCAAATTGATTGACGCTTTATAATTTACCGCTGCACGATATGAAGTCAGCTTTTATTGAGTGAATGAATGCTGAATGAATGAAAACTATGTATTGTTCCCTTCAAAGAATCATACAAATTATAAAAGTAACAACACAAACAAAATGAATAATTAATTATATGTAATTATTTCTTGTAATTGTTTGTATCTATAATAAGTTTACTATTGTAATCTTTTGGAGGAAACAATAAAGAGTATCTATTTACCTAGCTACATAAAGTTAACTACATAAAAGTAAGATAAAGATGCAATAATGGGCAGCTTTATCGCCATCTAGCGATTAGGCAACTCCCAGGCAACTTTAGAATAGAGAGAATTAAAATTGATAAGATACAGTAAGAGAACAAAATGTATGTATAAGTTCATTTGATGTGATTTCTAAGCGAGCCTAATACATTGTGCTAAAAGTGTCATTGGCGTATTTAAGACTATTTTCTTGGGAAGGCTAAAAAAAACTATAAAGTCAGCTGAGTGGGACAAAGGTCTCCATGCAAATAACTTTTGTACAAAGTCTCTATTTACCATATTTTTTATTCGCACTGTTGAAACCAATCTGTCATATCAACGTTAGGTCTAACAGTTCAAGTTCTATAAGAGAATATAACTTTACATTATCTATCTTGCTAATTCAGAACTTTCTGACGCAAAAACAAGATGACAAGTTATGTGTAGTGTTTACCCTACTGTCTGTACGCTCACCTCCCTCGCACCTGAACATAATCCCGCGCGCGACTCCCCCCATTTCTCAGTTGTCAGCGTGTATTCTAACAAATGTTCCGAAATAGGGGTGTTTTATGACGTGTTGCCAGTGGGCCACTAAAATGCCGTAATCAGTAGAAAGAAATATTAATTAAACTGTGTTTCAGTCGAATTTTGATACGTACTTTCTTACTAATATTATAAATGTAAAAGTGAGTTTATTTATTAGTTTGTTACCTCTTAGCATCTGAATGCTTTAACAAATCAACTATGAAATTTGGTATATACTTACTATATGGAATGGAGAAGAACATAGGTTACTTTCTGTTCCGGTTAGTAAACATATTCCAATTACGCTGACAGTCATGCGTAAAAACTAGTAAAAAGACAAAGATATTTTTTTTATTTATCACCAAAACATCCTTTAAATGATATTCATAATAATTCGAAATATTCAATAAATTAATCCATTATTGATTTGTATTATATTATTATATCAGCCGTTAACTGTCCAGTGCTGGATATAGGTCTGTGCCATTAAAGGACCTTGCCAGTAGTTGCCATGCTTGGCAGGAGGATTGGCAATCGCAGTTAGGCTGATATTTTAAGAGGGACGTTGCTGCCCATCCCTCGACAATTAAGTTCCCATAGTCGCCTCTTACAACACGTAAGGGAAAAAAGGGTCACCCATTCTATGCTGAGATCGCACGGCATTGTATTATATAATCGGGTCTAAATTTACTCGTTTGTTTAAATTTTCATTAAGTTCTATTGAAATTGTCTATAAGTTATTCCCGAGGTGAAAGTTCTAGACGCTCGTGAAATTAAACGCTCAGCTATGCATGATGATAACACTGAGTTGGAACATTAGTTGAATATTTGACGAACTATGTAACCGTGTTATTACTTTAATACAATTATTTCATAATTCCCCATACCTACTTATATACATATTTATACTTTATTGCATAGAAGGATTACATTGTACACTTCCATTTTACGTAACTGATTCTTATATTATTATTTTTTTATTCCTAATTATATTTATTCTTAATTGCACAATAAAACTTTATACAAGTGGCGAGCTTAATGCCGTATAGCATTTTCTACCAGTTAACCATTAGGTAAAAACAAAATGCATATGATATAATGTATAATAACATACTGATTTTTTTTATACAACTTAGAATGGCAAACAAGCTGACGGCCCACCTAATGGAAAGTGGTAACCGTCGCCTATAGACATGAGCAGTAAGTACCATGGACATAACAGAGTATCTATTATGTTAATTATTTACTAGAGACTTTGTGCATAAGTCGATTGCTTGGGTACCTCGGTTTGCCATTCTAAGTTGTATAACAAAAATAAAAAAAAAACTCGGAATCACTAAAGATATTATTAAACATTAAATATATACACAGACAGATAAGAAGCTTTAATATTGTAATATAAGTAAAGAGATATTGCAATGAATTATCATAAAGCAGCATTTTATTGCTCAAAATACAATTTCAGTTTAGTTAATTAATAACCCCCAATATATAGCCTCATGACAATTAATTTGCTGGTTTAGCGACCGTTAACTATTATGTAGACAGTTTTATTGTGTAAAATCCATAAAATCAATTTATTACATTTTTAATTGAATAATAAATTACACGCTTATACTGAATGTAGTTTAATTAATTTAGATGGGCATTGTATTATAAACGCTTCATAGCTACGACAATAACAACAACTTACTGTTTCCCTCGGCTTTGTCCGCGTACACTTACTAACTTTTGTATGCATATTCGTCAGCGTGACCGCAATATGTTCAATGACCGAGATTTAGATTAGAGCCTAAGTCATTTACCGGGAGGGAACGGATTGTTAGTAATGTGGAGTACCAGTCCCGTTGCTAGCAATCGGTCAAATACCTTGTCAGATCGACTTCAAGTGGTCTCCTCTGGAAAACATCGTGCTGAATTTCAGGTGTATTTATCACGATGGACTAACTGACCTGCC